TCAAATAAAAAGTCAAAATCCAAAATTAAAGTGTATGTAAACATTTTTACAAAATTTAGTGTTATGTATAGATGTTTTCGAATTTCTAGAAGTTTTATTTTATTACAATCTCATTTTACTTACTGTACAATATGATCACACTGTCTATAAAATGGCATAGAATTCATGAATAATGCTTGAAATCCATTTATATTAGCATTATCCAACAATTTAACAGCTTTTTCACTTTCCGATTTCACCCTCAAGTACACATCTAGTAACAATTGTGAGCATATATTCATATGTCCTGTTCCATCAACAAAAAACTACATCATAATTTGAATCAAACTCAAGAAGTGAAGGCTGATTTTCTTTTAATTCACCCGAATATAGAGATATCCCATGCTCATGCAACATACTGTTTGCTAAAAAAAAAATATTAGCAAAATTTAAAATAAATGAAGAATGGTAAGTGTTTACTTCAAATAATTTTAATAAACGCATGCAGCAACTTTTGCAGCAAAAATGAAAAAATACCTAAACTGTTCCAAACATTTCTTATAATTTGGTAACTGCTCATTGCATTATTTAACTTCCTTTGTTTCACTAGATATACCATATACATAGACATTATATACCCCGTAAAACCTCTGCAACTTGTATCGAACTGTCTCTGCTTAAGCCAAATATTCAACAAAATCAACCATCTTTTAAATTTTGATTCTTATCAAAAACACTTAATCTCAAGGCTTCATTTTCACTCCTTGCCAAATCTTGCAATACCGAAAAATTATATCTCGGAGTTGCTTCCCCAGCTTCTGAATCCTCTGATCCATCTCCAGTAAACCAATTTTTTCTAACATTGCTTTTACTAGGATTAAATCTGTTCAATTTAAAACTATCTTCTTCGCATGTCGAATGGACAATAATTGAAATGTGCTTGCTTAAATTACCTAATGGTGTAACTTTAAGCAAAGGTTTTAAAATATCACCTTTGTGGAAGAATTCAAGCTTTTCAATAATTTTAGATTTTGCAGTTTGTTAGCAATATGGCATAGATACATAGCACGCTTTTTATGATATCTTTGATTCAGATAATCCATCTTTTGAAACATTTTCTTAGGCATTTCTACACTGATGTCAATATTAACTATACTGCCTAATGTCACATTTAAATTATAAGATCCGACAATATTCACAGATGCTGGTTTATAAAATTTAAATACGCCTTTTGATTCTCTTGAATCCACACTTATTGGAAATTTAACATTCATAGATTCTAACCAAATAAGATCTGATATTTCATATTCATTTTTTTTATCCTTGAGACTACCAATAACACTAGCAAATTCTTCATACCAAGTAGTGAATAATTTTACATATTTTGATTTTAATTTAACCTCGCTTAACATTTCTTCGATTTGCAATCTAAATAAATTTGAGTTAAAAAGATTTTCAGTTTCTCTTAATTGATTAATTCTTCTACGGTGGGTTGTTTGTATAAATCATTTTTAGGTTTCTTAGCTTTTGGAGCATCAGTAGATTCTGGTTTGGCCAAAACAAATTTTCCAACTTCCGTTTGTTCTTCATCTTGTGAATCGATTTCAGAACCTTGGGAGTCATCTTCTGAGTCAATAAACTAAAAAAAGTACAATATAATTGACACATACCCAGAAATATATATATATACATAATAATAATAATGGGTAGTGCTGCCCTAGAGCTGCCCGTGAGCTGAGTTAAACTCCAACTCGATTCAGGGAAGAAGTAGTGTGAGAGTTTTTCCCATTTCCATTTCACACCGCAGTGCCCGAGATGGGCTTATTTTCAATTAGAAAACATATTTGATCTATATTTTCAATTGAAAACGGACATCGCGCTGCCCGATGTCAGGTTGCCAAAGCGGGGAATATATATATATATATATATATATATATATAATATATATATATATAATATATATATATATATATATATATATATATATATATATAATGTAAATATGAATAGTATGTTTACTCTACTCTTGCACTAACAATAAAATTCATACAGTACTAAATCAAAAAGGTTTGAAAGCCTGATTGCCTCATCACAGTTTACAATTATAATGCAAATAATATATAATAACATATTATATAAGTTATTGTAAAATATGTTAAAAATGGATAATAAGAATTTGTAAAAGCAACCAATGTAAAGAAAAGCATACATTCAAAAGTAAGTTTACCTTTTAAAGAAAATATAAAATACAAATAAAAAAGGTACAATAAATAAGAACGAAATAAGAGAAAGTTATATTAGCAAAAAATGTATTATGGAAAGTTATTAAATATCATATCATTCTCTACCAAAAATTATTCTAACTATATACATCAATTATCAGACATAACCTCACTTCCTTACATTTTCTTCATGTTTTCTTTTGTTAAGCAATGTCATGTTTATTGTTCTTAAGATTTAACAAGAAACAAAATAATATAATTAATACTGTAAAATTACACAAGCACTCATATGAATATTACAAATAGTAAATAAAAAAAACAACGTCAATTTGAAATATATTACGATATTAGCACATGGCGTACATTTACATACCAATTGCCAGAAGAGCGAAATGGCGTAAGCTGCGTCTCCATTGGCAAATTCTTACTTCTCAGTCTTATGATTTTATTAATATTTTACAGTTATGCTAATAATAAGGTAAAGCAATATATTATGACTATAGTATAATTACAATAATATGTGTATATTATATTATTTTAATCGGTAAGAAATCTATGCAAAAAAATAAATAAATAAATAAATAAATAATATGTGTATAATTATTATTACTACTTAATATTAAATTCTTTTTAATGTCTATTTGATTTTTATTTATTCTACAGTTTTATATAGTTTGAATAAAATAATTAGTATATAATTTTAATTAGGACATTATTAACTTCCCATAGGGTGAGTTATAGTAATGGACCAAAAATCAAAAATGAAAATTCTTGCATATCTTCACGTTTCAGTGGTTTCTGAAAATTTTGGCATGCATGAGAAAAAATGGATTTGTGCGTGTGTGTGTCTGTATGTGTGGAGACAATTTTTTTTTGTCAACGATTTTGGGCTTACGGATGGACCGATTTGTAAAATTCAAAAAGCAATTAATTTCTATTGATAGAGAGATATGCTGATTAGTTTTTAAATAAGACAAGTCCAGCGGCTTTGGAAATATGGAGCAAAAAGTGCTAAATATGTTTATGTATGGATCAACTGATTTGAATGATCTAAAAAAACGTTCGAATCGAAATGATGGAAAGAAATGGTTATTAGATTTTGGCAAAGGGAAGTCCAGCTAAATGTACAAAAAATTGCAGTTTTTGAGAGATCTAAGCATCCGATTTGAATGATTTAAAAAACTTGCTGCTTGTGTTGACGGAACGATTGCTTTTGGGGAAAGAATTTTCTTATATCATTCTTTTCTTTTAATTTTCAAAAAAAAAAAAATGTTTGAATATTGAAAAATAATTCGGATTTTAATTCCAATTCTAGCTAAAGTTCTAAAAAACATCACTTATATACTTTAAATTTGATTTTACCTTTGCAATTCAGTTTATTTAATACTTAGAAATATTATATATTGTCTTTCATTTTAAATCCGTTTGATTAAGTTTTGTTTATTTACTTTTTATAAAATAAGAATAATAAAAGTTACAATATTTATTATAATCTATTTGAAAACATAATTATATTCTTCAAATAGTATTAATGTACGGGAAGTTCCTTGCCTTAGGGCACGATGCCACACAACACAAGTATAAATTTGTTTTTGATTTTTATTTTATAATATTAAATAGCAAGCCAATTCTTAATAATTATAATAAAATGAAATAAGCGGATACAAAATTAAGTTTTTAAGTATTAAAACTCAATCCAAATCAAATGGAATAAATATATACATACACACATTGATGTTAAGTTTATTTATAATTAATTCTTATTCTTCTTTACGCGTATCGAATGAAAGATAAGTGGAGATAAAGTACATATAATAATAAAAGAAGGCAAATAATTATTTGTATATTTATGTTAACTATTAATCGAGGAAAATATTTTTTCAGCAGTTTATAATAAAAGATTTGATTAGTTGTTTGATTTTATATTATTACATATATTTGATTGTCTGATGACTTTCAGATGAGTTCTAATAGTAGTAATTTAATTGTATACTTGTAATTATAAATTCTAAGTTATATTAATGCATCAAAAATAGGTTCACGATACGATATTAACAAGATAATTAGAATAAATCTTGTAATAGAATAATTTGTAGAAAACGCATTTTTTCACAAATAGAACTGTAGCTTAAAATCGCATGAATGACCCTGACACTACCAACATTAGAAGAAATCTATTTTTAAATCTTTCATTATTTAGTAATAATTGATTATGAATTATTAACTTAATAATATTATTATTTATTATTATAGTAATTTTAATAAAATTCGATTCTCGAAAAATTTCACATTTTTTTTTTTACACACATTAATTTTTATTTATTGACTATAATAGTATATTTATGATTATTGATAGTTTTAGCAGGGTAACGAATTAAAAATATCTTAATCTCAATAAGATTTCAATTTACCTGATGTAGATATATTTATTATGACATGTATTTTAAAGCACTAAACTTAATATTTACCCTTATTAAAATAATAAATCAAATTAGATAATACCAAACAATTTATTGAGTAAAAACAATAGTTTGTGATGATACGTTTCAAGTCAAATGTATCATTTACTAACTCTATTTAATGTTTGTTATGAATTTTTATGAAATGTATTTTCTGTCGAATCGCTTGACATTTCTATGGCAAAAACACATCCGCGTTCGCCTGCCGCCATCTGTTCATGTAAACAAGAAGCTAAAAGTAACCAAAATGAAGAAAGTAGCGTGTGTTTGGTTGTCTGGCGATATTAATAAATAACATTTGTTTATTATTGGCGTATATTATAGATTTAAGCTTGAATTTAGTGTCAAGTTTATTAATAGAGCCGTCACATGAATGGTTAAAACGACTAATTTATACAATAAATCCACTAAGCAAGGAGTTATCGCCGTGTGTTTTGATGTGTCGTCCTGAAGTACTATGTGCAACTTGCAATGGTCCATATTATAATTCGAAGAGAAGTGACATATTAATGTGGTAGAAAAATAACAATTAATATCATTATGTGAGTGTTCCCTGTCAGATTATTCATATGGATGTGCTTTTATGTTTATACATTTTGGATGAAGTTTCAAGTCACGTTTGACACTTCGTATAGAAATTTTGGTTATAATGATGTGAGGTCTAAATTTATGCATACCCCCCAAGTGGGTGCAGAAATACAGTTTGTTTTATGACTATTTTTGTATTAAAGTTGGGAATATCGATTATGATTGTAAAGATTAATTATTTTAGCAGTGAAAACGAACTAATATAATACTGCTGGATTCTGGATGATTTATAATAAATTTGTAAAATAACTTAGTATTCCGTAGCAATTTTTAATTCATGTAATGTTGCAATCTTTATAAATAAAATTGCATTTAAATGTGCTAGTTTTATGTACCAGTGACAGCTCTCGGTTTCAAACTTGTCATTTAGATTCACATATATTTCCACGTTATTTGTCTTTTGTTGCAATGAAGAAAGTAATTGTTATTGAATTCTAAAAACTTTGGCTTTTGTTCTATAATAATTATGAAGACATAAATACTATGATCATTTTTATTATTATTGAGAATTTTATTTCACCTCGACTTTTCCTTGCAGGTTCTTGAAGGTTTATTACTATTTTCTATTAGTAAATAAAGTGAAACAATGCACGTGATAAAACAATACATATTGGTATGGTTTAACAAGTAGTTCATAATGAGCCATAATATTGCCGGCATGGCCCCATACAGGATGGCTGGTCCTGGTCTAGGGCCACCTGATTTCAAACCTCCAAACGAGGCACCTCACATACCTGCACCCGCGCCTAGTAATCCTAAAAAGAGGCGGAAAAATGCAAGTGCAGCCAGCAACCAATTACCTCCAACACCAGCACCCAGTCTACAAGACTTACTACCTCCCCCATGTTCTGGATTTGGTGATACTATTGTGGCTTCAAATCCTTTTGATGATATGCCACTTCCATCTTCTATGTCTCACAATGGACCGATGGGACATAATGCATTGGCAATGCTGGGTCATAATGGACCTCCGCATTCTGGTATGAACCCTCATCTGCATCACCATCCGCATCATATGGGTGGACCTCCTTGGGGAGGTCCCATGGGGCATATGGGAATGCCCAATCAACACATGCCTATGCCCAGCATGAATAATTCAAGGCAAATGGGAAGTCCTATGACAGCAGGACCTATGGGCAGCCCTATGAATATGCCTATGGGTTCACCTATGGGTGGTCCAATGGGCAGTCCAATGAACACAATGAATCCTATGAATCATATGGGTAACACACCTATGGGACCTCCCATGCATAGTCCACTAGGGCCAATGGGTAATGGACCATCAAGTATGGGAGGTCCGAGAATGAATGTTCCAAATAGTTCGAGACCAATGAGTAGTCCTATGAATTCTGGCCCCATGGGTAGTCCAATGAATTCACTCCCTTTAGGCTCTCCTATGGCACCTATGGGCAGTCCTATGAATAGCATGAATTCAGGCCACTTGAACAGCCCTATGGTACCTCCAATGCACAGTCCTTTAGGACAAATGGGCAATGGACCTGCGGGTATGGGAGGACCAAGGATGACAGCGCCTAATGGGAGCATGGGTCCTAATGGACCAGGTCAAGTTCCTGGTGGAAATCCTTTAAATGGTCCAATGGGCGGTAACAACAATATGGGTGGAAGCAATAGTTCATTAAACGCCATGGGAATGGAAATTAATCATCAGATGGGTCAGATAGGACCTATGAGCAACTCTGCATCAAATACTAGCATGGGACCCAACAGTGGTCCCATGGGCAATAGCGGGCCCATGAACCGAAATAGTCCTATGGGCGGAAACAATGCAATGAATCAGAATGGAATGATGATGAATTCTCAAATGGGTCCAAATGGTCCAATGGGAGGCATGCCTATGGGTCCAAATGTGTCAATGGGATGTCCTATCAGTCAGAGTGGACCCATGGGACCAAACGGGCCAATGATGCATATGGGAGGGCCTAATGGTCCAATGATTCCAAATGGACCTATGGGATCGATGGGCCCAAACGGACCCATGGGACCGAATGGACCAATGGGTGGAATGAATATGTTTGGTCCAAAACCAATGCCTGTGAGTGCGGGAAAAGTATATCCTCCTGACCAGCCAATGGTTTTCAATCCACAAAATCCAAACGCGCCTCCTATATACCCTTGTGGAATTTGCCACAAAGAGGTACATGATAATGATCAAGCAATACTATGTGAAAGTGGCTGCAACTTCTGGTTTCACAGGTAATAAACAATTTTGCTCTTGAGAAATATAAATCCAATCAAATAATTATTATTTTATTTTGTGTAAAAATTTTGTTTTAAATTTTATAGGGGTTGTACGGGATTGACAGAAGCAGCTTTTCAATTACTAACAGCGGAAGTTTATGCAGAATGGGTCTGCGACAAGTGTTTGAATTCAAAAAATATACCTCTTGTTAAATTCAAGCCGTGAGTTTTCTTGAAGAGACATCAGTGCACAGTGTTCTATGCATTTTGAATAAAACTTACGAAAATAATGTTTTAAATAATTATCAAAGAATAAATAATCAGTTTTAATAATGATAAAAATAATCAAACAATTTTGTGATATGATTATAGACATTTTGCTATCTAGTAACAGATAATAACGAACATTAACAAAATTGATAATTTTACTAATTGATAACTGACTTGTTAGTCTATTCTGGCAAATATTTGTAATTTATAACATTTTGAGTAAAGTTTTTATTGCAAGTACTATTGTGCAAACATAGCCTTAAAAATTGGAACTTGTATATAAACAATCAAATTTGTCATATTAGAATAATGCATCAATGACTAGAATTTGTCGAAACTAATAAAAGTATTTGTTAAAAATCGAAATTTTGTAGTAAAGATATTTAGTCAGAATAGATCTCTAAGTAAATAGCATTTGCCTTAATATTTATGTTTGATAATCATTTAAATCATTAAAAACTTCATAAGCTGTGTAATTAAGGAACATTTAAATAATCATCCCGAATATTGTTTCAATTGTATATAGTGAATATTATAAATATAGACAAATAAGTTTTAGAGAAGGCAGCGTAATTTTTATTGAGAGAACGCTGTTATTACTATTATTGTTTTTGGATCTATTATGAACATATATAAATATATAAATATGATGACTGATGAATATTTTTGTGGGGAAATGAATGTCAAACTGTTTCTGAATGTATGCTAAAAGTGAGAATGTTTTCTCCATGATACAAAAGATATAAACAGATGAATTTTGTGCATAACTTGTTGAAATAGTGTTTTTGATGACGATTATAAACTAGCACAAATTTTATGAACGTTTTTTATATCTTTTGTGTTTAACCTAGATAATTATAGTATAATTATTATTTTAATTTAATCATTTTTCAATTGTATATATGTTATGATCATTTTCAATTGTATATATGTTATGACCGATAACTTTTTAGACAAGTGACTTGATAACAGCTGTAAAAAGTATCCTAAACACATGCGTATTTCTCTAAAAACGCTTTTACTACAATACTACTACATAAATTATAACAATTACTGAGTGTTATAATTTTGCTTTATCTAACAAAATGAGACTCACTGGTTTAGGAACAAATTTAATATTTTTAAAGCTAAGCTATTTACAAATGCAAAATGTTTCATCAGTAATTGTATTATTTTTTTTTAATTGTAATTTTTGTTCGGAATGGGAGAAAACTTCTTTAAAGTAAATTCAAGTGTTTCGATTTGATATAAATTGTCAATCATAAATACGCATGTGTTTAGAATCTAATCAACAATTAGTTTAATTTGAAGCTCAACTGTTTATCTGTTTATGATCACGTTTTTCTAAGATTTTTTTTATTCATAAATACTCAATTTGAACAAAAATGATGAACAATTATATTTAATTTATAATCACCATTCCTACAATCTGCTAGAAAATACATATTTAATTTTGTATTTAAAATTTGTAAAAAAAAGATCACTGAACAAACAAACATATACACGCATAATACCCTCTGATAGTTTTTATTTAGAGTTAAACTAATGATTATATTAAGTTTGTATTAATTATAATCGAAATATAAATCAAAGGACAACAAAAAACGTAGTGATAATGTTTCACAGTATAAAGAACAAAAATGTAAAAATTACCCCCTAGTTTACTATTGTATGCATTTAGATATTCTGGAAATGCGAGTGTGCCTTTTGTAGTTGTATTGTATAAAATTATTGTGCTCACTTGTATAAAGGATTTGATTTTTTTTTTCAACCTAAAATAACAGTTTAGGTTGCACGATTTTAGTTTTGATATAGCTAAAAGCTTTTATACAAGATATTCGTGATTTACGGAGTATTTTATTTGCTTTTCTTTTTCATAGTCATGCACAGTTTAATTTAAACCTACCGATATTTAACTGGGTCAAAATGATTTCAGACTAAACTTTAGATGAATGTAAATATTTTCATATTTTCTCAAAGATTTCAAAACGATTATTGATGTTATATAATTTTTTTTTAAAAATATGCAGGTTTGAAATGATTTGATACCTATTACGCCTGGATGTAGAGTTCTAATGATGTGTGAAATGTTATTTAAAATTTTTGCCTAGAATTGGCCTAGATGAACAAATTTAGAGAACAAATGGAACAATAGTTCTAATTCAAGTAAAAAGAAAAGGCAACACTTCATTTTGTGAATGTATGTTTGCTTTAAAAAGATTATGGCAAAAAAATTTCAATTTTAAAATTACAAAAACAGGGGTGTCACAGATCTTAACGTCAAGCCGAAAAGAGGTTATAGTGTTGACCTCAACTGTTCTGAGAAAAATTTAGAAAAAACTAGTGGTGCATGACATCGTGCATTAAGGCAAATTGCTAGAACTTCCCGTACCAAAAATTAAATTTTTTAAAAAAGATTCAAATTTTTCTTATAACTTTGATTCTATTGATTTTCGATATTTGCGAAATTTACCTTTTTGAAGAATTTAAATTTTTTTTAAAACAATCGCGGTACGTTAGCTGCGTAGAAACAAAATATAGAAGCGCGCCGCATCTCAGTCGGATAAACATTGGTGCAGAACCCATAGAAATGTACACAAAATTTGTTCTTATTGTTAAAATCTCTATAGAATATCTGATAATTTGATGTGCATATGTCTAATAGTCATTTTTGTCCGCCAAATGGCATTTTTGCATTTTTATTGGATCTCCGAAACCGCTAGTACTGCTTTCCCAAAAATTTCATCAGTTCCTCATTCCAGCAAAATATTTTTTGCATCATTCAAATCGGACGCTCTGTTCTCTCAGAAATTGAAATGTTATTTTCAGCACTTTTTGCTCCGTATCAAATAATATTGAATTGCAAATGTTTCGAGACTAAAAATTTGTCTCATCTTCAGTGTAATATTATTTAAAAAAAATATTTTTTTGATCACATAATTTTTCAACAAATATGTATACTACCATACCATTTGAAAAAAAGGAATTATGTAATAATATTTAATTTTTTAATTTATATTACACTGAAGGTAAGACAAGCTTATTAAGTTATTTAAAGATCATTTTGACCCAGGATCAATTCGAAGGCAATTTTATCTGAATTTAAATATTTATTTCAATAAACTTCAATTATAATGTAAACTGTGCGCAGCAAAAGCAATGTTTTCTATAAATGTTTTGTAGTATAAAATAATAAAAAAAAACTTTGTATTTTTCGAGCGCTTCTTGTATTATTGACATTGTTGTGGGTAGATCTTTTCAATTATTGCTATCGGGTGAAGCCAATGGATGAGGACGTCGTATGGAAACAAAATAATACACTTTTTTAAAGTTTGTAAAAAAATCTTTAGTCGAGTATAATCAGTTTGCCAATTAATCATTTTAAACACCCCATACGATGTATCGTTTAAGAAGGCAGAATAGATTCGACACATACACACATTCACAGACAAACACACTATTATCTTATATTTGAATTGTATAGAAGAATATAATGTATATAATAATAAACTAAGAATTATCATACGCTTAAAATGTGAATTTTATTAAATTATTTGTTCTTAATTTCAGATTTTGGCAAAGGCCTGTTTTAATAAATCGACATAAATATTTTATTCATTAGTAACTAGTTAACGTGATCGACGAATATAAACGTTATGGAGAAGTAGCCATT